AAAACATGGTAGCAGTAAGATGACACAACCACGACACTGAGCTAAAACATGGTAGCAGTAAGATGACACAACCACGACACTGAGCTAAAACAGGGTAGCAGTAAGATGACACAACCACGACACTGAGCTAAAACAGGGTAGCAGTAAGATACACAACCACGACACTGAGCTAAAACAGGGTAGCAGTAAGATGACACAACCACGACACTGAGCTAAAACAGGGTAGCAGTAAGATGACACAACCACGACACTGGGCTAAAACATACAATCAGTGAGATGACTAAACCACGACTCTGGGCTAAAACATATCAGTGAAGCGACAAAACCGCCACACTGGGCTGAAACATGATATCAGTAAGATGACACAACCACGACACTGGGCTGAAACATCTATCAGTGAGATGACGCAACCACAGAACTGGGCTACAACCTGGTATCAGTGAGACGACAAAACTACGGCACTAAGCAACAACCTGGTATCAGTGAGACGACACAACCACAGAACTGGGCTAAACTATGGTATCAGTGAGACGACAAAACCACGACACTGGGCTAAACTATGGTATCAGTGAGACGACAAAACCACGACACTGGGCTAAACTATGGTATCAGTGAGACGACAAAACCACGACACTGGGCTAAACTATGGTATCAGTGAGACGACACAACCACGACACTGGGCTAAACTATGGTATCAGTGAGACGACAAAACCACGGCACTGGGCTGCAGCATGGTATCAGTGAGACAACACAACCACGACACTGAGCTGCATCATGGTAACAATAAGACGACACAACCACGACACTGAGCTGCATCATGGTAACAATAAGACGACACAACCACGACACTGAGCTAAACTATGGTATCAGTGAGACAACACAACCACGGCACTGAGCTAAACTATGGTATCAGTGAGACAACACAACCACGGCACTGAGCTAAACTATGGTATCAGTGAGACAACACAACCACGACACTGAGCTGCATCATGGTATCAGTGAGACGACAAAACCACGACACTGAGCTGCATCATGGTATCAGTGAGACGACAAAACCACGACACTGAGCTGCATCATGGTATCAGTGAGACGACAAAACCACGACACTGAGCTGCATCATGGTATCAGTGAGACGACAAAACCACGACATTGAGCTGCATCATGGTATCAGTGAGACGACACAACCACGACACTGAGCTAAACTATGGTATCAGTGAGACGACACAACCACGACACTGGGCTAAACTATGGTATCAGTGAGACAACACAACCACGACACTGAGCTAAACTATGGTATCAATGAGACGACAAAACCACGACACTGAGCTAAACTATGGTATCAATGAGACGACAAACCACGACACTGAGCTAAACTATGGTATCAGTGAGACGACACAACCACGACACTGAGCTTCATCATGGTATCAATGAGACGACAAAACCACGACACTGAGCTAAACTATGGTATCAGTGAGACGACACAAACACGACACTGAGCTGCATCATGGTATCAGTGAGACGACAAAACCACGGCACTGGGCTAAACTATGGTATCAGTGAGACAACACAACCACGACACTGAGCTAAACTATGGTAGCAGTAAGATGACACAACCACGACACTGAGCTAAAACAGGGTAGCAGTAAGATGACACAACCACGACACTGAGCTAAAACAGGGTAGCAGTAAGATACACAACCACGACACTGAGCTAAAACAGGGTAGCAGTAAGATGAGACACAACCACGACACTGAGCTAAAACAGGGTAGCAGTAAGATGACACAACCACGACACTGGGGCTAAAAAATATACAATCAGTGAGATGACTAAACCACGACTCTGGGCTAAAAACATATCAGTGAAGCGACAAAACCGCCACACTGGGCTGAAACATGATATCAGTAAGATGACACAACCACGACACTGGGCCTGAAACATCTATCAGTGAGATTGACGCAACCACAGAACTGGGCTACAACCTGGTATCAGTGAGACGACAAAACTACGGCACTAAGCAACAACCTGGTATCAGTGAGACGACACAACCACAGAACTGGGCTAAACTATGGTATCAGTGAGACGACAAAACCACGACACTGGGCTAAACTATGGTATCAGTGAGACGACAAAACCACGACACTGGGCTAAACTATGGTATCAGTGAGACGACAAAACCACGACACTGGGCTAAACTATGGTATCAGTGAGACGACACAACCACGACACTGGGCTAAACTATGGTATCAGTGAGACGACAAAACCACGGCACTGGGCTGCAGCATGGTATCAGTGAGACAACACAACCACGACACTGAGCTGCATCATGGTAACAATAAGACGACACAACCACGACACTGAGCTGCATCATGGTAACAATAAGACGACACAACCACGACACTGAGCTGCATCATGGTAACAATAAGACGACACAACCACGACACTGAGCTAAACTATGGTATCAGTGAGACAACACAACCACGGCACTGAGCTAAACTATGGTATCAGTGAGACAACACAACCACGGCACTGAGCTAAACTATGGTATCAGTGAGACAACACAACCACGACACTGAGCTGCATCATGGTATCAGTGAGACGACAAAACCACGACACTGAGCTGCATCATGGTATCAGTGAGACGACAAAACCACGACACTGAGCTGCATCATGGTATCAGTGAGACGACAAAACCACGACACTGAGCTGCATCATGGTATCAGTGAGACGACAAAACCACGACACTGAGCTGCATCATGGTATCAGTGAGACGACACAACCACGACACTGAGCTAAACTATGGTATCAGTGAGACGACACAACCACGACACTGGGCTAAACTATGGTATCAGTGAGACAACACAACCACGACACTGAGCTAAACTATGGTATCAATGAGACGACAAAACCACGACACTGAGCTAAACTATGGTATCAATGAGACGACAAAACCACGACACTGAGCTAAACTATGGTATCAGTGAGACGACACAACCACGACACTGAGCTTCATCATGGTATCAATGAGACGACAAAACCACGACACTGAGCTAAACTATGGTATCAGTGAGACGACACAAACACGACACTGAGCTGCATCATGGTATCAGTGAGACGACAAAACCACGGCACTGGGCTAAACTATGGTATCAGTGAGACAACACAACCACGACACTGAGCTAAACTATGGTAACAGTGAGACGACAAAACCACGACACTGAGCTGCATCATGGTATCAGTGAAACCATACATTTATAAGACAAAAAAAATAAATTTTAGGCCTCTGCAGATTGGGAAGCCCCGGGTTGTAGCTTGTTTAGCATATGTTCCCCTTCTCCAATCATTTGACTGTAGGTTGCTTTAAAACCGTAAAGTACATTATACGGCTGTTTTGTTCGGTTGAATGTGATATCGGTCTTCGTCCCTGTCTGATTCTCATCCATGAGATGCTATCCTACAGGCATTCTTCATTTTAGAGATAATCTTTATCGCACATCAGACATGACCATAAGTGCTCCGATCCATTCCAGAGTATGTCTTCACTTTATCCTACAGGCAGCAGACCATGGGCGTCTTCGTGGCGAAGTGGTCAAGCCGTTTGCTTCTCGCTCTGAAAATAGTTGGTTCGCTTCAGTTCACGAGTGCAGTTTTTACGGAGATCCCCAGTGATCGTCGCCGAAGCTACGGAGTTCGTTCCCTGTGAGATACTCTCAGCAGGCGGCTTGCCGTTCTTTCTGCCGAAAAGACCAAGTCATAAGGGATAAAACTTGGTGCAATGAAGTCGATCCTCTTGACTTTAACCTTTAACTTAGCCATGGAGGGGAACAGTGACCAATCGAAAGAGTCACAGCAATGATTAATTGATACTAAAAGAGTTAATATTGGTTTTTTTTCCTCATGTCTCCAGGTTTGTATCATTCTCCTGGGCAGCTGCCGCCCTTCTCATCCATAATTCCCTTCCGCCATCACCCGGGTGGACCTCCAACATTTCCGCCATCTTTCCCACCTGGGCTTGGGCTGCTGGGACCTCAGTCACTTCCGGTTACGTCACACGCAGATCTGCTGACGAAGCACCCATTTTTTGGAGCCATGATGGGCGCAACTCAGGTATGTTAAAACTACTGAGATAATTTAATGGATTTAAATTAGTGACATTAGATAAATTAGATAAGAGAAAGACGAGGTAATGGAGAGAGAGGTGGCGAGCACGATAGAGATAACGAGAAAGATGGAACGAGAGGGAGGGAGAGAACGAGGATGATATATAAAGAATAACGTAACTGAGTCTTAGATGTGTAAGAGAAAAAAAAGGAAAAGACGAGACAGAAAGACAAACAAACCTGCAAGTATATTTTCAAATATAGTCTAACGGCGAAATGAGCAAATAAAACGAATAGTACCACACTAGTAGTAAAATAATACTGCAGTTTGTATTCCACTACCACCTCCACCACTGCTACTACTTCTTCCACCGCTCTACTACTATTACTTCTTCTTCTTTTTCGTCTTCTTCTTCTTCTTCTTTTCTTCTTCTTCTTCTTCTTCTTCTTCTTCTTCTTCTTCTTCTTCTTCTTCTTCTTCTTCTTCTTCTTCTTCTTCTTCTTCTTCTTCTTCTTCTTCTTCTTCTTCTTCTTCTTCTTCTTTTCTTCTTCTTCTTCTACTTCTTCTTCTTCTTCTTCTTCTTCTTCTTCTTCTTCTTCTTCTTCTTCTTCTTCTTCTTCTTCCTCTTGTTCCTGTTCTTCTTCTTCTCCATTTCATCCTCATATTCTTCTTGTCGCCCTCCTATACCATTGTCGACATCTTTTGCATCAATATTATTAAATTGTTTTCTCGGACCCCATTTTTCTTTCTGACTTCGCTCAGGCACAATAAATATGTGAACATTTACTCTAGACATGATATTTCAACAATGTCAGTGATTAGCAGCCATACATTTGGGTACGTTGTGTTAATAGACCAGGCTATCTATGTCTGTGTGTCAATGTGTTTAAATATATTTCAGATGAATCACAACGCACTCTCCAAACTCTCTCCGACATACTCCCCACAGCAGCAGCAGCTACCCCAGCACCACCTACTCCACCAACAGCAGCATCAACAGCAGCGCCAAGAGCAGCAGCAGCATCACCAACATCATCAACTACACGAGCACGGAGTCAGCGATGGTACCGATGTTGTCAGCACCACCTCGGCATCCAAACGAGCCGACCTGGAGCAGAGGAACTCCAGCAGATCCTACACTCCGGAAGAAAGATCCGACAACGAGACGGCGACCAACCTGAAAGATGACAAAGACAGTTCAGCTTTTGCCAGAAGTGTCTCTAGTGATGATGGTCTACACAGCCCTGACGATAACCACCTGGAGAATACAGTAGACGATGAGATGATGGGACATGACCAAGATATGGCTGAAAATGAAAACGACGATGATACGGATGTCGAGGAAAGAAGTTACACAAACGACAGAGAGTACTCAAATACACGAAGATTCGCTGAAGATGAAGGAAGAGGAGGAAGGGAGCGTGGGGAAAGAGAACGCGACCGAGAGAGGGATAATTTCAGCGCAAGAAAAAGAAACCGCAGCTTTGAAAGCGGCAATGATAAGGACAGACGTGAGTATAAGAAAGAACGAAGTCCTTCCGGAGAAAGCGGCGAGAAACGCGGATCTTCAAACCGCGGTCGAGAGTTTGACTATCCGGGGTCAGATCGAAAAAGAGGCTACGACCCTGACCGTGGCTACGACCAGACAAAGAATGGTCGCAATAGTAGGCACAACATTAATAGATACATCCAGAGCTTGTCAGAGAATGGCTGTTCTAGGGACAAGAACGACAAACCACCTTCTGCAGGCAGTAACAACAGCAGCCACGGAATCAACGACCGTGGAAGTGTTAACAACAATGACAACTCCGAACTACGACCACCCAAGCGACACATTGAGCGGCAGAACCTAAACACTCGAATGATTCCTTCTTCGTCGTCCAGGAAACAGCGTCATCCAATGAGAAGGTTCAGCAGTGCTGGCAGCGAACAGGAATCCCCTCAGTCCACATCCAGCTTGCCGGTGACCTCGACCACTGCGGAGGCTATTGAACGAGGCGATCTGGACGACAACGATTTAGTCACATTTCTACTGACCAAAGGTCGAGTCCACAAATGCGTCCATTGCCACATGATCTTTGAGGATGCTTCCCTGTTTTTGCTCCATAACGGATTCCACTCACATGACGATCCTTTTCGATGCGTGGTTTGCAGCACTGCATGCAAGGATCGCATTGATTTCAACTGTCATCTCACTAGTCATATAAAATGACTACGTGTTCAGGACAGAAAGTAACATTCTAGATGTAACATATGTGATGTTGAATACAGGGGGTAACTGCAGTCAGTCTCATATCAAGAAGTAACTTAGCACAAAACAAACCATGACATTCAGAGCATCTGTTTACTCAGCCCTGTTGGAATTAATCTACCGCATACCTTCATCCATTTTTTTTTCTCCATTGTTCAATGTATTTGTTTTGCATTTATCCCCCCACCCCTTTCCCACTTTTTTTTTTCTTTCCTCCTCACACTCCTTCGTTAATGTTTCGTTTCGCAATGGTTCTTCCTGTCCCGTTTTTTTTTTTTTTTTCATTTACTTATGTATGAACTTCCTGTTCGTTTGTTGTTGGTTTATGAATTTTCCTGATTCATTGATAGAAACTTGTTAAAATCTTTGGTTGTATGTGCGCGCGTCTTTTTCCTTTCTTGTGATAGTTTTTCTATACATAGTTTCTGTTGTGTTAAATTTGCCTTTAGATTTAATATATTTTTACTTTGATATGCTACAACATGTGTCAACAATCAGGTCTGGTATTCCTATTGAATTAGAAATCTTTAACATGGTTATAGCAACAATTGGAAATAGTTCTTGATGAAGGAACTTGTGATAAATGCCAAAGTGTGTAAGATTAAATCTACTTCGCTAATTTCTGTCCTGGTTTCAAAGTGACAAAAATATAATTTAGACAGAATCCTACTGAGTCTAATATTTCAACGTAGCTGTAATAAAAAGGTTCAAAACTTTTTTGAGAACTACCATTTCAAGACTAACAGGCTAGTTTTAATATTAACTACGATTTCAAGACTAACCGTCTAGGTTTAACGTTAACAACGATTTCAAGACTAACAAGCTAGCTTTAAAGTTACCTACGATTTCAAGTGAGATATGAACCGGCGTCATTGCACACGGTTATAAACCATAAGTGCTCTTGCACCAGTACGGACAGTTGATAAGAAACTGTGTCGCCATCCGCACGAACGAACTAGCCAGGTTTTATCAACCTTACACTTCTGTACATTTCCACTTGTTGTATGCAAGACCATCTTGCATTCTTGCAACAGCTTTGTTAAATGGATTACACTCATTAACAACATGTACCAGAAAATTCTACACTTCAGTCATGCGTCTGAGGTTTTCATGGGGGGCGGGTGGGGGGGGGGGGGGGGGCATCGTCATCATCATCAACATCATCTTCAAAATCATCGTCATCATTAACATCATCATCATTTACATCATCGTCATCAACAACTTCATCATCATCATTAACCTCATCATCCTTAACATGATCGTTATCAACATCTTCATCAACATTATCGTCATTATCAACATCATCATCCTTAACATCATCATCCTTAACATCATCAACATCTTCATCATCATCAACATCATAATCCTGAGCATCATCGTCATCAACATCATCATCAATATCATCATCATCAACATCATCATCGTTATCATCATCATTAACATCGTCATCAACATCATCGTTAACATCATCATTAACATCGTCATCATCAACATCATCATCGTTAACATCATCATCATCATCATTAACATCGTCATTAACATTATCATGAACATTAACGTCATCATCAACATCATCGTTATCAAAATCATCAACGTCATCATCACCATAATGTAGCGTCGCTTATATGGTACTAGGGCTCGCAGTCTATTCCCCATCCCCCTATCCTCCCCACCCCACCCCTCCCACCCCTATCCTCCCCATTCCACCCTACTCTGTGCCCGCTTTGTTGGATATCATGGATAGAATCCACTCTAGTACCCTTGGCCTCTGTCATCAACTTTCATCTTAACGTTTCTGTTGAGCGTGTCTATTTTTGATAGGTTATTTTTCCTTCACAATACCCAATTAAAAAATGGTAAATACTTTCAATAAAGACAGGTTTCATTAACCACGTCGAAGTTTGATGTTTGTAATTTTCAATGATTTCATATTTAAATAGCATTTCTTTATCGGTAAATGTTTGATATTCTTTATAACTTGACATATACGGGGTTGTTATCTTTACTTGACGCAGTAAGCTAGCCCGGCCTTGGTGAGATATAATTCAGTTGTTGTTTGTTAAATTTCGTTTATTGTTACATTCATTCGAGGATAATATTCTCATGTAGGCGGGAGCTATTACTCGTGTTGGCCAAAAGTTTAAGGCCACCTAGTAATTAATTGGCATTCCATCAGTGGTATGGAAGAATTCTCTCCAACCGGTATTTTACGGCCGAATGATTGCCTTTAGTGAATTATCAGTAGATGCAATGCCTCCATAAAAGCATGGGAGAATCAGTTATTTACAGTTATTTATAAGTAGTCTTAGATTTTTAGCCACTTCTGTACCGTTTGTTGTGTTGTTAGGCATATAATGGGAATTTTGACCCATGATGTTAAAATGTCTGGGGCAAATTGTCCTTCGCTTAAGTTATAACACGGTCATCGTGTAATCTTATTTTAAGTAATGCGGACTCAACTAATTGATTGTCAGACATATTTCGCGGTATCTCACCAGGTGCTCTAAGTACAAAGTTAAATCAACATAACTTGAAGCTCAAAAACTGAATATATTCAGTTCAAATACAAATGGTTTCTCTGAACACATTGTGTCCGTCTAAAAGCCGCAAATTCACGATAGTCACTTCAATTACCAGAGCAGCTTCAAATTTATAATAAATTCCTTCTGTTTTTGTAGTCAGTGTTTTCAAACAATAAGCAAAACCGAAACCGGTGTAGTTATGCATTGTTGCTCACACACGAGATACCTCTGTTCAACTATTTCTTTTGTTATACTTTAATTATAACCGTTAAGTTTCAAGTTATATTGTTATACTCATAATTGTTAATATTAGACTGATATTTTTGTACTTAACAAAGAAAGGTCAGTTTATTAATATTAGACTTTATACCAATATAATAAAATATATACCACGATAATTCACACCGGGCAATTTTTCCTGGCCAGATTATTTATGAAGTCAAACTGTTTGAAAAGTAATGTACACGTCTCATGTGCAATGTGGCACGCGATGGCGAATTTTTTTTTTTTTTTTTAACACTTTCATAAGTTGTTTTTACGAAAACTATTACTTTTGATAATGATGATTACTTTTGAACGGTGTAATGTTTATTGAAAATAGGGGTAACTGAAGTCGTAGCTGGTATCAAGAAGTAACTAAATACAACACAAACTATGACGATAAAGCTCAACTAAGTAAAGGTGCAAGTTGCTCGCTCATATTATCGATAGTGCGGTTCGGAGTTTTTATCAACGAAGAAAAATAGGAAAATTGTATATAGGAAGAGCTATTGCCGAATAAAATTTGAACTGATAGCAGAAAAAGGAGGTGGATTATAAATTAATCTTTTTTTTAATGAGGTGAAGACGTGCTAAGAATTGTCTTTTGCTGTTTTATGAAAGGATGAAGACTTACATCGAAACGTTTGGTAATATAAGTGGGCACTTTTTGTGTTACCTCGTTGAGCATCGTAGTCAGGGTTACTTTTGTTTTATTTCTTCATTTTCATTCCTCTAAATTTTTTTTTTTTTTTTGAGACGCCTATGGTAACAAGCATACAGTGCCGACAATTGTAGAGCTCCCCCCCCCCCCCCCTTTTTCCCCTCCCTCCCCAACCGCTGCTGTCGTCGGTATAGCAAACAATACAATAATCAGAAACAAAACAGCATAAAAGATTGTAAACAGATGCAGTAATCTATACAGTATTTAGTTTTTTCAAACTATTTTCTAGTAAACCATAGGTTATAACCATATGACGTTAAGTACAAATCTTCTAAAGTTATAATAAAGCATGCAATATTCTATATAGATAAAATGTTGCATACACTTCTGTAAAGAATCAGTTTTGTATTGAATATCCTATAAACAGAAAAAGTTGTATGCAACATTTTATAAAGAGACATGCCAGTATACAGTCTTCTATTTGAGACAGTATAGTATGTAATATTCTGTAAAATAAAGCGTTGCAAAAATTATTCCACAAAGATAAATGTTGCATAAAATATTCTGTTATGATAATGTGTTACATACAATAATCTACAAAAATGAAATTTTGCATAAAATTTTATATAAATATATAATATAGCATAAATACTTCAAACATATACAGTGTTGCTTACAATATTCTAAAAAAAGCACATACAACATTCTATACAGGTGTATTTGCATGACAGTCTATCGGCTTTTACTGTTGAAATACACCATATTCAAACATTGCTGTTTTTGTTCATTGTTGAAGATGAATCTCATAATGTTAATTCTCTATATTGTTTAATAATGTTTACCATATTGTTTACTTTCTGCATTAATTATTAATGTTTACCATTCGCATATTACTTTACATTGTCAGTGGACCAGACTATTGTTTCCCTTTCTCTTTTGTGCCATATGAATTTTTACTGTTGTTGTGGTGCGTTTTTCATCGTTAATTTGTACAGCAACTTGTTAAAATGGAAACACATGTATGTAATAATGTTATGAATTATGTATTATTGTTATGTAATATTATCAACTTGTATTGTGTCTGTATACGGTTGACGTAAAAACAATAATGATGCATTGTAATTAAAGAATGGACGCAGGGGATTACTGGGTACGTTTTGACACGTATTAGTTTGTGGGTACTGCGTCGTTTTTCGATTACTTTTTAAGAGTTTTAGGTACGTTGTGATGTATACTTTTTTGTCAAGTACTTAGTACTTTTTCCAGGAGTAATTTGTATGTGGTTTATATAGTTGAATGTGTTGTAGAGTAAATGTTGCTGGTTGTTTTAAGGAATCTTGAGGTGAATGATTAGGGCTGGATTAATAAGGCGGTTGTGTATTAAGAGTAAAGTGGATAATAGCCGGTTTTTACGAAACAAAGTAAGTACACGTACCAACCAACTACCTGCTTGCAGAACTACCAACTTGCTTATCGCATGCTTGCATTCCAATATCTGTTTTCGTGTATCTATATGC